TTTCGAGGAACCTAGTTGGTGCCAGCAGTCTTCAGGACCTCGGCGTCACCACTACGTTCCCTAGTCACGAGCGGTACGCTGTGTGTACCGAGGTCGCCTCAGGTGCCCCCCTTGCGACGTTCCCCCGGGACCCGGCGTCTGGCCTGTTTACGCTGGACAATGCTTCCCCCCCGGTGGGCGTGTCCTCCCCGGGTCCTGCGTCTACCCAGATTGCTGCGGCTTGCTCGTGTCGGTCGCTCACTCACCCGTCGCTTTTGTGGCACCACCGCCTAGGTCACCCCGCACATCCGCATCTGCGTCACATGTCTCAGCACTGTCTTGTTCTAGGTCTCCTTGCATCGCTTCCTGCCCTCCCTCCCTCGCCTACGCCGCCGTGCACGCCCTGCGTCGAGGGCCAGCTGCGTCATGCTCCATATTCCTCCTTGCTTCGTCCTACCACCGTGCCACTCCAGACCCTGCACCTGGAGGTCTGGGGCCCAGCTCCCGTCCCTGGGCCGCTAAGCGAGCGCTACTTTCTCGTGCTCGTCGACGACTACACGCGCTACACCAGGGTGTTTCCCTTGGAGCTGAAGGCCAATGTGCCTGACGTTCTTATCCCATGGGTCGTAGCTTTGCACCTCCACCACGGTCTCCCTGTGCTGTGTCTCCACTCCGACCATGGCCGCGAGTTCGCCTCTGGTCGGCTTGGACAGTTCTGTCGTGCGGATGGCTTCACCCAGTCGTACACCCTGCCAGATCCCCTGCAGCAGAATGAGGTCGCTGAGCGATGCACAAGTTTGGTCATGGAGGTTGCTCGTACCTCCATGATCCATGCCGGTACACCACATTTCTGTAGTCGTTCGCCGTTCACTACGCTGCTCACCAGCTTAACCTGTGGCCGCACTCCCAGCGGCCGCAGGTTTCGCCGACCCTTCTTTGGTTAGGGTTCCCTGATGACACGTCCGCGTTCCACAACTAGGGCTGCCTCGCTCACGTTCATGCCTCTGGCACGGACAAGCTCACTGCCCGTATTGTCCCCTATGTCTTCCTCAATTTCCCCCTTGACTCGTCTGACTGGCACTTTTACCACCCGCCGTCACACCGCTTTTTTCACTCCCGTGACGCACTTTCGACGAGTTTGTCTCCTTTTACCACCGCTTTCCCACCGAGGTCTCCCGGATTCCCCTCCCCTATTTCTGGTCCCCACTCCTCCAGTAGCCCCTGCTCCCCTCCCTCCACGTCCTGCTCTGTCTGGTGTGTCTCACGTTACTCCCCTCCCGTCGGTTGTCACAGTCGAGGAGTCAGCTGACTCTGGTGGCCCTGCGGCGCCGTTCTTGCCATTTGCCTCTCCCCCTGTGTCTCCTCCTCCACCGTCGCCGCTGCTGTAGTAGCCACAGCCGTCGCCGCCACCGCAGCAGCTGCCATAGCCAACCGTGGACTCTGGGGGTGCTGGCATTGAGGAGGGTGCTAGTCCTGGGGTTCCTGCAGTGGCTTGTCCCGGCGGGTCTGGGGGTGCCACCGGTGTTGGAGAGGGTTCTCCCTTAGGGGGTGCTCTTTGTGGGCATGCTGGAGTGGAGTGTTTCGGACATAGCCGTGGTGCTGCTGGCGGTCCAGATGTCAGCATCGAGCAGCGGCAGCAGCAGTCGCCGCCAGTGTCCGCCGTTCGCCTGCTCGGCCTTCCCTCCCCTGACCACTCGCCTGCGCCTCCCCCGCCCCCTCATCCCCTTCTTGTCTGCGGCCCTGTGTTCCCTGCGCTGGACTTGTCTCCCGCTCGTCTTCCCCCTCATTCCCCCCTTGTGTCTTGTCCTCTGTCTCCTGACCAGACGTTCCCGTCTCACGTCTGGTCACGCCGTCCCTCTCGTGCCCATCCTGTCTCTCCTGTTCAGCGTTCTCACCCTATGTTGCTTCGTTCCCATGCATCTTGGCCTCCCCTCCTGCCTTCGCCTCCTCCATCGTCGCTTGTTGTCACACCTCCACCTCTGTCTGACTACCTTCGTGCCACTCGTCCTCTTGTTCCTCGGGTCCTTGCCTTCCTCGCTACTGACCCGTCGGTACCTGTCTCCGGTATTGACACTCTTATCGCTGTTGCCGCCTTGATTACACCACCGCTCTGGTCTCTTACCCTGTCTCTCCTCCGTCCGTCGGGGATGCTCCTGCCCTTGGCAGTGACGTCTTAGAGGACACGCAGTACGAGCTTGCTTTCTTGTCCGAGGCTGCTCCCCATCTCTGTTCCATGCTGCTAGTCCCTGAGAGTGACCCTGACGCCCTTTGAAATCCCGACCCTTCGCACTTACGCTGAGGCGACCTCAGGATCCTGGGCCTCTCAGTGGATAGATGCCATGGAGCAAAAGATGGCATCTTGGAGATTCACCGACAACTTCATCGGCGCGGTTACCCCGCCTCGGGGGAACATAGTAGACGGCCCGTGGCTCCTCAATGTGAAGCGCCCCTCTGGAGAGTTGCTGTGTTCAAGGCGCGCTACGTGGCTAAAGGCTTCAGTCAGCGCGAGGGTGTGGACTTCTTTCAGACCTTCGCCCCGACCTCGAAGATGACTACTCTTCGAACGCTGCTACACGTAGCAGTACAGCGTGACTATGAGCTACCCTCCCTCGACTTCTCCACTGCTTTTCTTCAGGGCAGCCTACACGAGCAGGTCTACCTGTGCCTTCACCGGTACCTTCCCTCCTGGGACCAAGTGGCTCCTCCGACACCTTGTCTACGCCCTGCGACACGCGCTTCGTGAGTGGCACGACACTCTGCGTGCTACGCTAGCTGTCCAGCAGTTCTTCCCGTCATCTGCAGACCCCTCGCTCTTCGTTCGTGCTGGCCAGACTCCGTTCTACATCCTTGTCTGCGTAGTTGTCCTGGTCTTCGCTACTGCAGACAAAGACGCAGTGGCCTCCGTGAAGGCCGAGCTGCTGAGGAGACACACCTACATTGACCTCGGAGAGCTGAGACGCTACCTGGACCTGCAGATCTCTAGGGAAAGAGCAGCACGCACCATCACTCTCACACAATCACACTCGGTACGCAGGTCCTTCAGAGGTTCGGTTTTCAGTTCTCCTCTACACAGCCCACATCTCTGCCAGTAGACCGCTGGCTCTCTGCTCCAATTCGTGAGGAGTCAGTATAGCCCTGTGGTTGGTACGCAGAGTTGGTGGGTTGCCTCATGTACCTGATGACTTGCACTCATCCAGATCTCGCATACCCTCTCAGCATCCTGGCTCGCTTCTGGCGTCAGGCAGACACCAGCCACAGCACTGGTCAGCCGCTAAGAGGGTTTTGCGTTATCTAGCAAGTACATCAGGCATAGGGCTCATGCTGGGAGGACGCAGGCCAGTGGTCCTTACAGAGCACACACACGCTTCGTGGGCAGACGACGCTGAGACGCTCAGGTCCTCCCAGGGCTACTGCTTCAGCCTTGGTTCAGGTGCCATCTCGTGGAGGTCCACTCGCTCCTCGTCTATTGCCTAGTCTAGCTGTGAGGTTGAGATCTACGCCGGTGCCATCGAGGCACAGGAGCTCCGCTGGCTGACGTTCTTGCTCACCGACTTAGGTGAGCAGCCTAGCTCTGCCTCGGTCCTGTACGCTGACAACAGGGCCATGATCCTCCTGTGTCAGGAGCTTCGACTAGAGGGCAGAGCGAAGCACATCCAGCTGCGGTACTTCCTCCTGCGAGAGCTACAGCAGCGCCGCCAGGCCCGCGTAGTACGCTTGGCCTCCGGTGCCAACACAGCTGATATCTTTACTAAGGCGCTTGCGCCTAAAGATTATCAACTGCACTGCTTGCAGTTTGGTCTAGTTCCTGTAGACTCTCACTTACTAAGACCTTGATTGTGTACTCCACTACATATATACATTTCAGATTGGCCTTGTGGCTTCCCTCCCAGTGGCTGGACTAGAAGTGTCGTCGTGGTTTGCTCTTGTCTTATTTGTACTCTTGCTGACTGGTCTTAGGTGAGCGGCCTAGCTCTGCCCTGGTTCTATGCGCTGACAACAGGGCCATGATCCTCCTGTGTCAGGAGCCTCGACTAGAGGGCAGAGCGAAGCACATCCAGCTGCGGTACTTCTTCCTGCGCAAGCTACTGCAGCGTCGCCATGCCCGCGTAGTACACTTGGCCTTTGGTGCCAACACAGCTGATATCTTTACTAAGGCGCTTGTGCCTAAAGATCATCAGCGGCGTTGTTTGCAGTTTGGTCTAGTTCCTGTAGACTCTCACTTGCTAGGACCTTGATTGTGTACAGACCTTTATATATATTACCTTGACTGGCCTTATGGCCTATTCCCAGTGGCTGGACTAGTAGTGTCGCCCTGGTTTGCTCTTGTCTTGTTTGTACTCTTGCTGACTGGTCTTCGGACCCGTGCCTCAGAGGTTGGACTAGTAGTGCCACCCTGAGCTGCGTGTTTCTTGCTCAGTACTACCCCTCATCTAGCCTAGGGGGTGTGTCAACTTATACATATGTTTGCTCTCCTAGGTAGGTGTACCGTAATCCCCCGGATATAACACCCGCCGAAATTAAGCACCCCCTGGTGTTATATCCGGGGAGGGTGTTCTATTGAAGATTTCGCAATTATACACCCTCTTTTTGAGGGTTCCAGGAGAGCACCCCCCCCTTACCATTTTAGCCCTTCTAAGTCTTGCAACTCCTGGAGCAAATACCGATTTTTCATGCGATTTCATGGTGAGCACGACCATTACGCAAAAGTTCAATTTTACCGAGGCGCACGGCGGGATTCTCCGGTACTGAAAATGACGGGGTGAAACAAATCATTACCTGGAAAGCGTAGTGACCGACAAATTTCGTTTCATTTGTGCGAAAGACTTGTCTGACTGGTTGACGAGCCTCGCAATTTTCGCCAAGCCTATTACGAGAGTCGCCAACCCCTCAATCTCACTTCTCCAACCTGACACTCCTGATATTCAGGAGCAAGTGGGCGATCTGGGGGTATTATGAAGCTTGAGAAAACGTACGCCTTTTCAGCTGGAACTTGGATGGTTGAAATCGCCATGAAACGCTGAGTCTAATGCACATCTAAAAAATTCTGTCCTCAAATATAACACCAGGGTGCTATAGCCTAAACGCGAAATAGAGCACCCACCCCCCTGATTTTGCATGAATTTTGTATTATACCCGGGGTGTTATATCCGGGGGATTACGGTATGTTCTTGGGGGGTACAACTCCATCCCTGTATCTCCCTTGTTCTCTTGTTTCTAGCCATTCGTGTATTCTAACAATATTTGTATATGTTATAACCTAGATAGGTGCATGCTCATAGAGGGTACAGCACCATAGCACAAAATCTCCCTATATGGCACAATCTATTCTATTGCGAGATTCTAACATGGTATCACGCTAGGTTAGGTCCCCCCCCCTCCCTGCCTACGCATCATGCCTTTGCACTCGCACAGAAGCTGGAACCTGAAGGTTACATAAGCAGGGAGAGAAACGAGTAAGAGAACGAGGGATCTGAGAGCCAGGGAGAAAATACCAACGAGCAGCAGCAACCAGTTGAGTAGCAGCAGCCTTTGCATTGGTCTTATTTAGAGCCTCTTGCCTTTGCACTCGCACAGAAGCTTGGGTCTGAAGGCTACAAAAGCAGGGAGAGAGTAACAAGGGAGTGAGAGGCAGGGGAGCAGCAGCAACTTTTGACTTGGGCGCCATTGACACCTCCTGCCCGTGCACCCTCTCGGACACTGGGACCTGATCGAGGGGAAGGAGAATGACAAATGATTAGGGAGAGTAGGGGGAGCATGGGGAAGGTCCAAATGGGGAAGGTTTGAATTGGGCTTCGCCTTGGGCTTTGCAAGTGCTTCCTGCCTTTGCGTTCACACACCCAGGGCCCCCCCTAACTCCTCGATTCCAGGTTGTGTTGAGAATCAAGTTGTTCACCACCATAGGAGCATCCACCTTCACATGCGATGGAAAATATTCTTGACATGCCTCAAGAAGAGACATTTCTCGATTCCAGTGTGTGTTGAGAATCAAGGTGTTCACCGCCATAGGAGCATCCACCTTCAAATGCGATGGAAAAGTAGGTTGCGCAAGAGAGCACATGCACACATGCACATGCACACACGCCCACATTCCTCTCACCATAGCCATTAGTTCCAGTGTGTGTTGAGCCACTGGCCGTTTCACCACCATAGGTGTTGCGACCCTTGCATACGCTGGAGAAGCAGCATTGCTCACACATGCATGCACATGCACACACGCCCACACAGGGTTCCTCACACCATAGCAGTTAGTTCCGGTGTATGTTGCGCCAGCGGCTGTTTCACCACCATAGGAGCAGCAACCTTCACATACGCTGGAGTAGCATCGAAGGGCACGGGCACGAACACGCAACCCCCTGTCAAACCCTCCCCCTCCCCTCCCGCCTCCCCCCACAACATGCACACAAGCCCACACACAGAGAGTTCCTCTCACCATAGCGGTTTGTTCCGGTGTGTGTTGAGCCAGCCAGAGGTGCTGCGACCTTCACATACGCTGGAGTAGCAGCATTGCTCACGCACACATGCACATGCACATGCACACTAGGATATGCACACATGCACATGCACGCTAGGACACGCACACATGCACATGCACACTAGGACACACACACACGCCCACACAGAGAGTTCCTCTCACCATAGCTGTTAGTTCCGGTGTGTGTTGAGCCAGTGGCCGTTTCAGATGGATGGAGCTCATGTGAGCTGACTTTTGAGTCGACTCAGAAGTCATTTCGTTCAGACGGGTGGAGCTCATGTGAGCTGACTTTTGAGTCGACTCAAAAGTTATTTCGTTCAGATGGATGGAGCTCATGTGAGCTGACTTATTGAGTCGACTCAAAAGTCATTACGTTCAGATGGATGGAGCTCATGTGAGCTCATGTGAGCTGACCCAACCCCAGCAACTACAGTGGATTTGGATGTTTCAAATGCCACGCAAAGTAACGGCGGACCTTCGAACCACTATAGCGGAGCTCTACAGTAATAGAGGGTGAAAAAAATCTGCTACACCAACGCCGTTGCATCTGCAAAATACTAACACACATGGAAAACAGTAACCAGCTCACTTACGCACTGCTAAATATGGGACTATGCCATGCAGAGGCAAGCGTTCCACATTAGTAGCACCAACTACTGCCACTCTGCGTGCTGCGACAACGTTGAGCCCATCACTTTCGTCCTAAAGCACCTGCTTTTAGGCACGTAAGAAAGAGGCAATGTAACTTGCGCACGTGTAAGACACATTTTCATAGACGCAAACCCATAGCAAACAACGGCACAAAACATTACAAAGACGGTTATGGTGTGAGGCCCGTATCTGTCCGCACGAGTTATTTTCTCTCGGGCAGTCATCAGAAACCTCGACCCACCGACCCAACGCACCACCTAACTCTTCCAACCCCATCCATTTCTCCCAGCCCTTATTTCCCTTCCAAATTTTGAGTAAAGAAAACAAGGGAGGAATGCAACAGGTGAGAAAAGAGTAGTCGAGACGACGCTAGGTTGCGGTGGGTTTGCTTTAGGACGGTTGTATCGGAGCCGGCAGCAATTGCTTCTGCTGCAGCCCTTCTTTTCCCTCCCCATAGGCCCTTCTTTTCAAGTACACAGAATTCGAGGCGCGAGAAGGAGAGGGAAGGAGGGATTGCTAGGTTGCTGTGGGATTGCTGTGGGAAGAAGAGGGTAGTAATAGTATCAGTTAGAGCCAGCAGCAATGGCGTCTGCTGCAGCCCTTCTTTCCCCTCCCACAGGCCCTTCTTTTCAAGTACACAGTTTGAGGCTCGAGAAGGAGAGGGGGAAGGAAGTATGGACGCTACGTTGCTGTGGGATTGCTGTGGGAAGTAGAGGGTTGTATCAGTCAGAGCCAGCAGCAATGGCTTCTGCTGCCGCCCTTCTTTTCCCTCCCATGCAGCTCCTTGCAATGGCTGTAGCAAGCCTTCTTCTCCTACTCAACATTCAGCTGCCCCACTCAAAATTCAGCTGCCACACTCAAGTTAAAGCTGCCCCACTCAAGTTTCAGTTGCCCCACTCACATGGAACACACTTGGAGCAGCTCTTTCCTCCTCCATTCCTGTCTGCTTGCTGATGTCCATCTTGACCATCTTGTCCACCCTCCAAATATCACCTCCCACCCATAGCACGCCTTGCGCTGTGCACAGCAGATGTTCGACCTGCGAAGTTTCAAGTCCTCTTCTTTCTCCTTCTGCACCTTAACTGCGCGTCGCATTGCATGCTCCTGCCACTCCAGCCACTCCAGCCACTCCTCTGCGCGAGTAACTCTTCCCCCTCGTTTCTCACTCCTCTCTCCCCATCTGCACCTTAACAGGGTGTCTCTTCGCATGCTCTTGCCACTCCAACCACTCCTCTGCGCCACTAACGGCGCACAACACGCAAGGCGTGGCCTTCCACCCATAGCACGTCTTGCACAGAGCCCACCCCACCCTCCCCTTCACCCCCCCCAACCCAGGGGCAGTGGCATACGCGCCCTTCCCGTCGCATGCACCGCACTGCACCCATCCGGAACCGTCCCCGCACAGCCCGCACCACCCGCCGGGCCTGCCGCTTTGGTCCGGAACGGGGCCGGCGCCGAACCTGCTGCCTTGGTTCGGGACGGGGTCAGGGTCGGTGAGCAGGCCGAGGGAGGGTTTGGGGGAGGAATCAGCGGGGGAAGCGGAGGAGAAAACCGTGCGCCAGGAACGCTCTGGAGATGCCTCTTCCGAACGACCCTCCTCCGAATGAACCTCCTCCGCGCATTTCCCCTTGACGCGTTCCTCTACCCCGGAACGCTGCCCCTCGTCCCCCTCCTCATCCCCCCTTTCCTTCCGCCTCTTCTCCGCGCGGTCGCCCTCCTCACCAAGCTTGGCTTGCTGCTTTAAGATCTCTTTCTTCTTCCCCTCCTTCTCCCACTTCCCCGCGCCCTCGCCCTTCTCCCTGACCTTCGCTCGCTGCTTCTTCTTCTTCCCTTCCTCCCCCCCCTTCTTCACCGCGCTCACGCGCACCGCTCCGCCGGCCGCGGAGGCGGATGTGCTGGAGCAGGCGAGGGAGGGGAGCGAGAGGCGCTGGCTGCTGACGTGGCAGCTGCTGGAGTTGGAGAGGTTCGCCAGCCTGGCAGCCTGGGGAGGGAAAAAGGGGGGGGAGGGGGGGAGAGGGGCGGGGGGAAGGGGGTGGGGTGGAGTTGGGGGAGAAGGAAGAGGAACAGAAGAGAGTGAAATGACTGTGTAAGAATCGTGAAGCGTGTGGGCTAGGATGAAGTGGCTGGGACAGTGGAAGAAACAGGGAGAGGGAGCAGCCTGAGAAAGGAGCAGCCTGAAGGCGCAGCCTGACGGCCAGTCTACAAGCAAGAGAGAGAAACAGTGATGAAAATGAAATGAAGAGACTGCTCAAAGCCCGGAGTTAGATACCCTGTTGTTTCTAGCCATTGAGACGCCATTTGTGAGAGGGGCTAGCCATTAGTACTTGTTTGTGGACGTCACATTTCTCGACGTGACATTTCACAAATCCCGGTCTTTGAGGAAAGCAAGAATCGAAGGACGTATCGGCACCAAACATGAAGCTCTGGTAGGGACGTGGCAAGCACGAAGCAAGCCCGACTTAATGGTGCGGTGCTGCCGCACTGACGAGAATCTCGCTAAACCCTGCATAAGTCTCCACCCGACGCGGAATTCTCGATAAGTTTCCCGGTAAGAAAATTCTGCGACTGCTAGAAGAAACTCGTGAGAACGAAGACACTAGGGCCTTGAAGTCAGAAAAACTCGCGAAAGCCTAAAACGATCCCGAAAACGAGGATACGACCAGGCATTCAGTGAAGAAATAGAGCCTCAGGGATTGCCGTACGAACTTAATCTGCAGACTAAGAATCATCGTGTGCGAGTCGAAAAAGGAAAACGAAGGGGTTATGGACTAATATGGCCCTTCAACAGATGGCGACAATGTACTCGGTTGAGAGACATTCTAATCGGTGAACGATGGTTCAGGACGGCTAATTCTCTTGACTGTTACGCTGGGAAATCTGGAACCGATGACGCGCGAGCGAGGACCGGAAAAGAACGACGCGACACAACAGTCGCGGGAACCATAAAACCAACCGAACGCTGACAGCCTTGGCACAGCACGAGGTCGACGCTCCCTATTCCAAACCCCGCTCCCTCACCGTGCAGGCCGAGGCTTGCTGCAAGCAGGAAAGCGACGAGGACGCCATGGCTCCGCGGGTGCAATCGACGGTTGAACCAAGTGCAGCCTAAGTGGCTGAAGAGTTAAGTTGCTGCACTCTAAGAAGCCCAAGGTTACTAGAGTGAGATTAGGAGAAGCTGGAGAGGAGGGAGGAGGGGGAAAGGAATGGGAAGGGTAGGGGTGAGGGTGTGTCACAAGAGTTCAGGACCACTCAAAACGGTTTCTATCGTTTCGCTGGGTTTCAAAGCGGTTTCTAGAAGAATAGTTATGTAACTCGAGGAACCGCCCTCCACCGCGTGAAACGAACATTTGAATTAACTCTTGTGACTGTGGAAGAGGTGGTGGGTGGGGGGTCCTTGGGATTGGTCAGGCTGGATGTCTGGCTGAGATGATGGCGTGGAACGAGGAAACATGGAGGCCTCTCCAGAGGCGTTTCGTTTACTAGTGGTATTAGGTAAGAAATAATGGATAAGCAAGTGTTAGAATGAGTGGAGGGAGTGAATAAGCAAGTGAATAAAAATAACAGGTTTAGTAAATATCATGGACAAAATGCGTAAATATGTTATGATAGGAAGAGTTTCCAAAATAAAAAAGAAATCCTTGGATCTGAGACATGACTAGAAGCTGAAGGGATGGACAACATTCGAAAGGAGTCAATTAAGATGAAGTTTTGCGAGCTGAGATATCTAGTTATAACACTGGGTATAAAAAAGAACAACGTTACAATACGGCTGAATGTGGCCTGCAACAAATGTCGTAAACTTTCTGTTACACGAAGATTCTTCCAGCAACGGTAAGGGCAAGTCCAAATAGAACATCTATGACTTGCTTTATGTTTCAAAGCATTCAAGAAGCAACCTAGAATAGTTGGGTAGGGTGTTAGCAAAAACGTACTATTTGGACCCGCCAAAGTACCAGTGTCGTCCCTTCCTCCTACCCACCTTCCTGTCAAATATATATTTTATGCTAATGTAGACTATATAGGGTTATGCCTTAGGGAGTACAACCCATTAGGTTATATTCCTTTGTATGCCTTGTTCTAGTCATTCTTTCACTTGAACATGGTATCATGAGTAGATAGATCCCCCCCCCCCCTCTAGCGCTTCCGCCCTAGGTCCTAGCCGTCTCGTCGCCCCGCGGTCCGTCACCTAGCGGCCCCGCGGCCCCATCCCCTAGCGGCCCCGCGGCACCGTCCCTAGCGGCCCCGCGGCCCCGTCCCCTATCAGCCCCGCGACCCCGTCACCTAGCGGCCCCGCGGCCCCGTCACCTAGCGGCCCCGCGACCCCGTCCCCTAGCGGCCCCGCGGCCCCGTCACCTAGCGGCCCCGCGGCCCCGTCCCCTAGCGGCCCCGAGGCCCCGTCCCCTAGCAGCCCCGCGGCCCCGTCCCCTAGCAGCCCCGCGGCCCCGTCCCCTGGCGACCCCGCGGCCCCGTCACCTAGCCGGCCTCGTCGCCTAGGCGGCCCCGTCTCCCTGCAGGCCCCGCCTCTTTGCCAGCCCCGTCGCCTTGCCGCACGCGGCCCCGTCTTCTAGATGCCTCGCCACCGTCCTCGGCTCCTCTGCACAGCGCTGCACCGCCCGGCACCACACGGCACCGCACTGCACTGCTCTGCACCGCACTGCACCGCCCTGCACTGTACCCTACCCTACTGCACCTCCCTCCACTGCACAGTACCGCTCTGCACCGCACATCACCGCTTTCCGCCACGCTCTCCTGCCCAGTACAGTCTTTCTCCTACTGCTGCAACCATGATGGCGGACTCGGTCCTGCGTTTTGATGTTAAGGGGAAGCCGATTGAGTTCGACTCGGCTCGTCGACCTCCAGCGACACCTGACTGGTCAGTGGCAGGACGGCCACTCCATGGCCGTCCATATCGGCGGTACGCTCCCCTGCCTGGACCCCCCTGCTGCCCTCCCCGCTGACCCCTTGTCTGCTAACCGTGAGTCCGCTGCAGTTGCTACCCTTGCCCGTGCTGTCTGGTTGTCGCGTGACGCTATCACACAGCTTGCGATTAGTCATGCCCTTCCCCTGTCCGAGCGCCCCCGCTTTAGGTCCATCAGGACTGCGCAGGAGTTCCTAGAGGATGTTGTTGCGCGCTATTCTACCACGCCCTCTGCCTCTGTAGGTCGCCTGATCCTGCCCATGCTCTTTCCTGACCTTGCGTCTCTCCCCACTGTCGCTGACCTAGCCGCCCACCTGCGCACGCTAGACACGACCTGGCGCGCTGCCTACACTGAGGCTCAGCTTCGTGTGTTTCAGCCCCCCATTTGCTCTACCCTCTACCTGCTTGCCACCCGCCTGCCTGACCGTCTTGCCACTACTCGCGATCACTTCCTTAGTCTCCACCACGCTGACCTCACCCTCACTGACTTTGTCGACACCCTGTCTGCCATAGAGACCCGTCAGCGCTCTATCGCCCAGTCTAGCGGTACCGTGCCAGTCTCTATCATTTAGGGCTGTGCCCCTGCTCAGTGCTCTTACTCCGATGGTTCTGTTGCGGTTGCTGAGACAGCTCCGGCTGTGAACACAGCCGCCGCAGTGCAATTTTGTCCGGGTAAGGGTCGCCGCCCCAAGGCTGGGAGTGGCGGAGGTAGCGGAGGAGGGAGTGGTGCCGGTGGTGGAGGTGGCTCGTCCGCTGGTAGTACTGATGAGGGGGCTGAGGCTAGTGCCCCGGAGCAGCCGCCCCAGCAGCAGCATGGATGAGATTAGCTCTGCTTTGTATGCGCTGTATGTTGATGACTCTAGTGTGACTGGTTCCTATTACCATGTGTTACCTAGCGTAGGTGTGCCCAGTATGCCTAGTTCAGGCTCCCCTGTTGCATCACGCGTAGGATCCCCTGCCTTGTTTAGCCTAGGATCCTCCCTCGCTCCTCTGACCTCTGTTGCCGCTGCCGCACTCTCCTTAACCCTGGACTCTGGCGCTTCCCAATGTTTCTTTCGCGACTCCACGACGCTTACGCCGCTTGCCGCTCCTGCTGCAGTTGCTCTTGCAGACCCTTCCTCCGGTCCTGTAGTTGCCCATAGCTCCTCTACTCTCCCCTGTCCGGCGGTTCCCTCAGGCTCCCTTACAGGCCTGCACATCCCCTCGTTCTCTAGGAACCTAGTTGGTGTTGGCTGCCTCCAGGACCTTGGCGTCACCACTACGTTCCCTGGGCACGAGCGGTATGCTGTCTGTACTGAGGCCGCCACTGGTGCCCCCCTCACCACGTTCACCCTAAACCCTAAACCCTGGATCGTTCCCTGCGCTCCCCTCCTCACCCGCGCCTCCGTGCACGCCCTGTGTCAAGGGCCGGCTCCGCCGTGCCCCTCACTCCTCCTCGTTCCCCCCTACCTCCGCACCACTACAGACCCTACACATGGATGTTTGGGGCCCTGCCCCCGTCCATGGGCCGCGTCACGAGCGCTACTTCCTAGTGCTTGTCGACGACTACACCCGCTACACCACCGACTTTCCCCTGGAGCGGAAGGCCGACGTGCGTGACGTTCTTCTCCCGTGGCTTGTCTCTACGCGTGTTCACCGAGGTCTCCCTGTCTTGCGCCTTCACTCCGACCATGGTGGCGAGTTTTCCTCTGGCTGCCTTGGTCGCTTCTGTCATGCAGAGGGCATCACCCAGACGTTCACCCTGCCGGACTCCCCGCAGCAGAATGGGGTCGCTAAGCGATGCATCGGTTTGGTCATGGAGGTGGCTCGTACCTCCATGATCCATGCCGGTGCACCCCATTTTCTGTGGCCGTTCGCCGATTGCTACGCCGCTCACCAGCTGAACCTCTGGCCACACCCTCAGCGGTTGCAGGTTTCGCCGACCCTCCTCTGGACCGGGTCCCTTGGTGACGCGTCTGCGTTCCACGTCTGGGGCTGCCTTGTACACGTTCGTAGCCGCAGCCGCTGTCGTCACCGCCGCTGGGGTTCCTGCGTTCTGGGGGTGTTGGGGAGCAAGCTGGAGCTAGTTCTGGAGCGGGCTCTTGGGGTGTTGGCGTGGGGCTTCTCGGAGGGAGCCGTGTTGTTGCTAGAGGTTCGGGTATTGAATTTGGGCAGCAGTCGCAGCTGTCGCCGCCGGTGTCCGCTCTTCGCCTCCTTGGTCTCCCTTCCCCTGACTGCCCGTTGCTGCCTCCCCCGCTGCCGCCGCCTCCTCCTCTGCCGGTCCACGGCCCTGTATTTCCTCCCCTGCCTGTCTTCAAGGCGCGCTACATCGCTCGAGGCTTCAGTCAGCGTGAGGGGGTGGACTTCTTTCAGACCTTCGCCCCAACCCCGAAGATGACCACTCTTCGGGCGCTGTTACACGTAGCAGCACAGTGTCACTACGAGCCGCACTCCCTCGACTTCTCCACTGCTTTCCTCCAGGGCAGTCTACACGAGCAGGTCTACCTGCGCCGCCCCCAGGGCTTCTACGGTACCTTCCCCCCTGGTACCGAGTGGCTCCTCCGGTGCCCCGTCTACAGCTTGCAACAGGCCCCCCATGAGTGGCACGACACGCTGCGTGCTACACTTGCTGACTTGCAGTTCTTCCCTTCATCTGCAGACCCCTCGCTCTTTGTCCGTTCCGGCCAGACTCAGTTCTTCATCCTTGTCTACGTAGATGATCTGGTCTTTGCTTCTGCAGACAGAGACGCACTGGCCGCCGTGAAGGCCAAGGTGCTGAGAGGACACACCTGCACATACCTAGGAGAGCTGTGTCGCTACCTTGGCTTGCAGATCTCCAGGGACAAAGCAGCGGGCACCATCACTCTCTCACAGTCACACTTGGAGCGCCAGGTCCTTCAGAGGTTTGGCCTTCAGTTCTCTTCCGCACAGCCCACCCCTCTGTCAGTAGACCACAGACTCTTTGCCCCAGTCCCTGAGGAGGCCATACAGCCTAGTGGTCCCTACGCAGAGCTGGTGGGTTGCCTCATGTACCTGATGACTTGCACTCGTCCAAATCTCGCATACCCTCTCAGCATCCTGGCTTGCTTTGTGGCCCCAGGCAAACACCGACCACAGCACTGGTCGGCAGCTAAGAGGGTTTTGCGTTATCTAGCAAGTACATCGGGCATGGGGCTAGTGCTAGGACGACGCAGGGGAGTGGTCCTTACCGGGCACACAGACGCTTCTTGGGCAGACGACGCCGAGACTCTCAGGTCCTCACAGGGCTACTCCTTTAGCCTTGGTGCAGGTGCCAT